ACGACTTCAAATGGGTAAAAAAAAAACATTTAACTTTCATTTTACTGATTTTTTGTGATTTTTCAAATTGTATATCTTGTAAAATCACAGAAAAAAGCATAAATTTACATGCTGACGGTTAAAAAAATCTGTTTTCATCTGTTATTTCTGAACCATTTACTGCTATTTTACAAATCTGTGCATATGTTTAGAAATATCCAATAAAATCACAGAATTGAAAGTATTAATTTACATGTGAACCTCAATAAAAACATTTCATAAATCTGCAAAAAATATCATTTTATGGATATATCCTGTTTTGTTTTTGTAGCCTATTTCTTCTTGCTGCCAGATTTCCATCGTTTTGCTCTTTTTGTTTTCTTAACAGCGCACATCCGTCCGTCTCTCATTCATGTCATCCTATAAACTGACAATAAACTGCTCTTTGTCTTGCAGATCTGCATCTTAAATGTGCTGCCAACCCTCCGGAGTGCAGGAACAGAGTGAGAACAGCAGAAAGCGATGACGAATGCTGGGGATGTTGAGATGCAGCGCTGTCATCCTCTGTCTTGGTGAAATGCCGTTTGCTCCTTCACTCATTGTGCTGGCTGTCAGTTGCCTCCACCCTGCAGCCGGGCGGCAGTCGGCCTCGCAGCTGTCTACGGTCCAGCATTACATAACGAGGCTGCATCACAAACCCGCTCCCCTCCGGCCGCTTTGCAGTCTTTGCCGTCGCCCCGCCGAGGAAATCACAAGAGGACAAAGTTGCGACGCCGGGCGGACGTGCAGACTGGCCTCCTCTTCTGCGATTTGCATGTTGAGGGCCGAGTTAATGAGGTAACGCGGAGCTATAATTGCTCATTTGCTTCCCGATTCCCATGGACCCGTCGCCCCTTCACCTTTTAACGCTCCACTCAAACACACATAAAGTGAGGCCGGCTGTACTGGAGACACACATGAACCGCCTCCACACATCACCTGACCCGCTTTCCCATCATGCGTTTGCTCTTACAGTGTGTACCGCGTCCAAACCAAAATGTGAAGCATCTTGTTACAGGTTTTATTCACTGTGGGCGTGTTTTTCACTGCAACATAAAGTCCTGCACCTCTATGGAAACAGGGCAACCATCAGGAAGGAGACAGAACTCAGAAATGTCTTCTGTGCAATTTGACACAGTTAGAACGCCAGAAACTCTAAGAGACAAGAAAAAAGTTGAACTATATTTTACCAAGTGTCCACAGATGCTACTAAAGCTCGCTACACACTGTAATCTTTCGTCTTGGACAGTCGAAAATCGCACAATCGTGAGAGAATCGTGGCGATATCTTTGCTCTTGGCTCTAAATCGGTGATCCTTCGTCACACTGAGACAGGTTCAAGGACGGCCGTTGTCGTGAACTTGCAACTAAAGACAATTTGAAAGTCTCACAGGGTGACTGCTGCCCCGACTAACTAACTGACCAATAGGAATGCAGTATGAAATGACGTTCTCAGCGCTAAACCCAAATAGATGCTTTGCTGCTACAATGGCAAAACGCATCAAAAAAGTCTCCACCTCCTTTTTTGGGGATTTCTCTCCAAACACATAAATGCCACAAGGGCGAGGGCTCCCTTCATGCTTCGCTTTTCGTGGATGGATGGCGCAGGTTTATGACGCTTTACTCTTGCGCGTTCATGTACATCGATTCAGCTTGTGTTTTCATCATGCAATCGGCACACAGCAAACTTCATGTCATGCCCAAAGTTTATTACATTCACGTCGTACAGCATAGCTAGCCTTATAAGATTGTTATAATCGCACCGTTTGTAGCTGGCCTAACACAAAGAAAACATATAGCCTCCCCATACTTTATATAATTACCTATTTACATTTTTACAGCGTCTACAAGCTTATTTACGGTCGTCTGAACAGTAGAAACATGTTTCACCATGCTCAATGCATCTTTCACCAACTTGCTGACAACGTGCTCCCCTGCAAACCATTTTCAAACCATGCAACATTTATTTATCCATTACGTTAGAAAAACGTTTCACCGTGCTCAATGTATCTCCCAACAACATGCTGCTCTGTATCCCGTTTCCGAGCCGTGCCACATTTGGTTAATTGATTCAGTGCATTACAAATACGTTTCACTATGCTGAATGCATTATCCAACAACTTGCTGGTAATTTGCTCCTCTGTTATCGAACCGTGCGCCATTTATTTTATTGATCCAGTATGTAAGAAAGATATTTCACCGTGCAGAATGTACTTCTTATCAACTTGCTTCTATTTCTGAGCCATGCCACCATCAAGTAATCAAATTCCTTCATTGTAACTTCTTAAATGTGAATATTTAATACTTTATTTTCTCTTCTATGACAGTAAACAGAATATCTTTGGGTTGTGAACAAAATATTTTGCCATCTTGGGCTTTGGTTTGAACACTAAGTTCCAGATTTTTGATGTTTCGGTGTCTAAAAATCCAAATTTTTGATTTTCTAATGTGGTAACATGCAGGTTTTTGATGTTTTAGTGCATTAGTATGCAAGTTTTTGATTTTTTGTTGGGTTAATCTCTAGATTTTTGATCTTGAGGAGCTTTGACATCTAGGTTTTTGACATTTTAGTGAGTTAATATCCAGGTTTCTGATGTTTTGGTTTGGTAATATCTAGGTTTTGACACCTTGTTGAGTTAACAGCCAAGTTTGTGTCCAGGTTTTTAATATTTTTTTACAATTTTCTGAAATTTCTGAGCAGTGAATCCATTAATCCAGAAAGTAATCACCAGATTAATCAGCAATGAAAACAATCAGAAGTTGCAGCCCTATTTCTAAACACCGATTGGTTCCGTTAATGTGGGGTGTTGTGGTGTTTGCATATCCGACTAAATCTATTACCTAATGTCAACAGATGCACAACCAAACGCAGTCGGTCGAATATAAGAAGTTATTAGAGCCAATTAGTACCACAGCAGAAGAAGAACAAAGCACAAACGGCGGAAAATGTGGCTTTTCTGCTCGTCGCTTCCGTTTGTTTGTGTGCAAGTGAATGGAAACGATTCCCACGATTATGAAAAACAACTGCAGTCAGCGCGGTTAATCAAGAGTTTCTTATTAATCACATGTTGACGGCAGAATCCCCTACAGCCCTGCTCCCATGGTTTGCTCCTCGCTGACTGCTGAGGTTAGGACCTCTGACCCACATTATATTTCCCACACAGAGTGAAAGAAAGCGACAAAGAACTGCACTTATGTATGGATCCTCCTGAGGTGACCGTATTGAACCGGCAGCAGAAGGTTCATGCATGTGCACATGAGTGTTTCATCCACACCCACAGGGAATCCAGTAATGGGGGCTAACAAAGAAACAGCCAGTGTTTTGTCAGTTGCTAAGCACACTGGGTCTGATATGACAGAATGCAACTCTCCAGTGTGTCCCACCTACGCAACACTTCCACCAAGGACCCCATGATGCAGTCTGTCATGCTAACACACTGCACGCTGTGTAGTAAAAACAAGGCGGCGCTGAAAGCATAACACGGGGCGACATGAAATCAAGAGGAAACCTGCCTTGCTGCCTGTGCTGGTTTGTGGAAGACCAGTTAATTAACCTTCAGTGATGGAAGCCCTAATTAGGGCTGGGCAGCCATTAAAAATATTATTATCACACCATCAATTACCGAAGGAGCTATAAGAAGAACGACGACCCGCCCCTGAACAACGAGGAAGACGTACCCAACCCAGTGAGCCATCTGTTCCAGCAAGACCTGCTTTCACTTCTGCTTTGCTCAGAGTGTAAACATTTGCCTGAAACTGCAAAGACTCATCTTAAACTGACCGCTACACCTTCATCTGAACTTAAAGTGTCAAAAAAAAAGACTCTCATAAAGCACAAATACATCCACCATGTTTCTGGAAACTGAGCAGCTTCACAGTAACATCAGCAGCAACATGAAGAAAATATTTAGTGGAATCCAAGCAAACGTTCTTTCGATTTCCTCACAGTTCTACTGATCTGTTGCATGACAACCCACAGACCTTTGGGTGTTTTTGTGCTGAACTTCTTCAGGAAGTTGATCGACTAAAAGCAGCTTAAGTTTCCACTTAAACGCTACAAAACCCTGGAAGTCATTCCACAAAATAAAATTTGGCCTCAGTTCGCATCGGCCTTTTTGAGTCGCAACAACTTCTAATTAAATTATGTTCAACCAATTAACCACACTGACGTAGAGGAATTATTCTTATGAGTCCGATCAGTGCAGTCTGAACTGTCTGAAACTGTTCGGACGTGTTAAGATTCACTACCTGAAGTCAATGTAAAGAAAAATTTGATTATCAATTTTATTACGTTACCTCAATTTAACTTCAGTATTACTTCAACTAACGTAAAAATGTTTCAATTACACACAATATTAAATTAAACATTCTGATGTGAACCCAACCTGAGCTGATTTCATTAAGTTGCATCAACTCTGATTTAGTTTTAGTTCGACTAATGCAGAGATTTGAGCTTAAATTACACAAAATATCAACTATTGCCAATAATGTTTGCAACTCAAACGATATATCTAAACCAGCAAACTGGACTTTAGGTTCAGCACAAAAAGAAATAACTGTTTGCTTCCATATTTTTGAGTTAAGACGACGACCAGTGCAATTATGTTCAACCAACAAACTATTTTGAGTTGGAGGAATCATTCTGATCTCTACAATCAAACTCTAGTTTTTAGCCCAAACGTCAAGTTGTCCAGCTGATTTCACTAAGTTACATCAACTTGAATTTAGTTTCAGAAATTTCACACAGAGATGTAAGTTGAACTCCCACATACTAGTGGGTTGATGCAACTGAGGCCATTAAAAACGCTCATTCACATCAGTAGTTTAGATGTTTCACACAGCCATGCATGCAGTGAAGTGGTGGGAGCAGGTCTCCTTCATGACTTTCCAGAGTGGACCTCACTGATAAACAGCCTGTTCCTGGATCAGGCTCCCCTTGTGTCACCTTGAGAATCAGCCACCAGAAGTGCTTCAACCACCAACCTTCATGATGCCGCAAGGTGCGTTTCCAGCCGCCTGAATCCTCTCCGCCGAATTGTCGCGGCTGCCACTCCCGATCCGCGGGCTGCCGTGCTCCCTGTACCGTCCATTGGTGTAAACTCCCTCGGCCCCGTAGCCCTGGGCAGCGGCCGACACCTCCAAGTACGTCCGGGTGCCGGCGGGAGGCAGCGCGGCCGCGTCTCCGGTGATCCCCGCCACGGTGGTCGCGCCCTGGGCTGGCGGGGCGCCGATGGCAGGATCCAGAAAATGTCCCGCATCCGAAGCGTGAACCCCTGCCATGATCCGCCGGTGTTACAGCAAAGCCCTCCCCTCCGCAGCGGCGAAGCAACCCATGTTCTCAACGTCCGGGGCGGCTCGTCTTCTTCTCCGGATCACCGCTGCTGCTCCATGGTCGGAGCGCACGGCCGCCGCTGGTCCCGGTGAAACGCCGAGCAGACGGTGAACCCCGCACCGACCTCCTCGGCGCAGCTCTCCCGGAGGCGTGTGCTCACAGATACCGGAGACTTGGGCTCAGATCGGGGGGGTTTTGCTGCGGTGCTCCTCGGCTCACAGCTCACTCTGGCCGCCTGGTCGTGCTCGGGGATCCGCTGCGCCGCTCCGGACTCTCCGCTGCGCTCATCGCCGCGTCCTCAACACTTTTGCAGCGCTTGCAAACCGGAGAGCTTCCCCCCCGCTGCACGCATCCGCGGGACAAATTCAAGACTGCCAGGGCGCAGCCGCAATAAAGCACACGGGGCGTGTGCACGGGCCCGGGCGCGCACGTGCAACTGAACCCCCAGTGCCGCGCGTGCAATCACAGTTTGACTCGTGAGGCGTGTGCGCGCGATCTGCCCAAAGCCACCCGACGGTTTGTCACATTGCAGATTGCAGGCAGACCAACACAACAACACAACGACACGGACACACAACGACACGGTGGCGCGTTCACACACCTCAGGCTCTTTACTCTCATTACAGAGAACGTCAACAGTATATTTCATGTGAAGAACCAAACTCAGAGCTGCTAACTTATGTAACTCTCACAAACTCTCCATTAATCCGGCTGCAGGTTCCCCACAAGAGGGAGCTCAAGGAAGCTTCTTAAAAAGTGAAAAAAGTTCTTTAATCAAAAAGTATGCACCTCAAAGGTATGACTTACAAACACAACTCTGCAGTACAACATCTGATTTTATTTTTTTTTTAACATTATAGTGGACAGTTATTCAAAGTTAAACTAAAATCACTTCATTTGTAAAAAAAAAAAAAAAACTTTAAACCACTGAGGGGGTTGGTCTCAATCAGCCTGAACATCTGGATGCTGCAGTTTTACATCATTCTTCTTTGTGAAACTGTTCAAACTCTGTCAGGTTACACAGGAATCATGAGTGAACAGACCTTTTATAAGTCCAGACACAGATGGATTGAGATCTGGCCTCCAGTTCGGCCTCCAGAACATTCACCTTGTTGTCTTTAAACCATTTCTGTGTCGCTTTGGCTGTTTGCTTCGGCTCATTATCAAACAAATCTTCTCCCAAGTCACAGTTCTGACAGCATCAGGTTGTCCTCCAGGGTTTCTCTATCATCCAAGACCTGCTGCCAAGAAGCATGATGATGCTGCCACCACCATGCTGCTCAGTGGGGATGGTGTGTGTTTATGGTGATGTGCAAAAAGCAACCTTCTTCCAGCTGACTTCAGAGTCTCCCACGTGTCTTCTGGTGAACTCTAGTCCAGATTTAATATGAGCTTTTTCTCTTGGTCACTCTCCCATAAAGTTTCGACAACAGTTGATGTATGAACAGCCTCGTCCACGTCAGCTGCTGAAGCTCCTCCTGAGTCATCTCGGTGGCCTCCCTCACTCGTCTTTTTCTTGCCTCACTCTGTTTTTGAGGACAACTTGCGAAAGACAGATTTACACATGTGCCATATTCCTTCCATTTCTTAATGATATATTTAACTGTACACGAGGGGATTTTCAGTGACGTGGAGATGTTCTTGTATCATCCCCTGACTTGTGCTTTTCATTAACCTTTTCACAGAGTTTCTTGGTGTTCTTTTGTCTTCATGGTGTGGTTTTATCCAGGAGTACTGATTCACCAGTAACCGGACCTTCCAGATAAAGAAGTCTTTATACTGCAAATCGCTGAGACACATCACTGCAGTCAGATGATGCTTATTTTTAAAACTGTGTGACTTCTAGCACCAACTGGCTGCACCTGTGTTTGGCTAAGTGAGTCCCTTTAAAGCAGCGAGTACTTCATGTTTCTACTCTTGACTGATAAACGCAGCCAAAAACGAACAATAGCAATAAAAAAGTGAACTTTAACTTGATCATGAAGTTATTGTGAACGACAATTTGTTAACATGTGGCGACCTCTGCAGGCCACTGTTGACAACACAAAGAAGAAGGACAGCTCAATAATAAACCACACAGTGTTTGACTAAAAGATATTTAAAGTCTAGATGAACATAACAGAAAAATACATATTTGTACATTCATTCATTGTTTATTAATTAACTGAAACAATAACAGCTAAACATAAAATTTGAATTATAAACCTGAATTGCTTCATAAGAATAAAAATCTGTCAATATTTACATTGTTCTGGATATATAGACTCCAAAACATTTAAGCCTCAGATGTTTTACAACATTTTGTTTATTTAATAGGTTTTTGACATCTTAAAATCTAAAATCCAGATAGATTTTTGATGTTTTGGAGCATTAATATTAAACTTTTTTGACACTTTGATATCTTGGTATCCAGGTTTTTGATCTTCTGGTTTGTTAAGATCCAAGTTTTTGATGTTTTGTGTTCAATAATGTTTAGGTTTGCACACTGTTGAGTTAATTTGACATTTTAAAATCCTCGGTTTTGACATTTCAGTATGTTAACATCCAGATAGATGATGTTTCAGTGCATCAATAGCCAAGTTTGTGATCTTTTCATGTGTTAAAATCGAGGTTTTGACACTTTGTTGAGATAATAACCCAGTTGTTGGACCATTAATGTACAAATTGACATTTTAGTTCATTAAGATCCAGAATTTATATCTTTAGGGGTGTTGATATAAGGTTTTTTTTTCTTGCGTTAATATCGCTTTTTCTTTCTTTTCTTCTTTCTTTGTGACGTTTTGGTGTCTTCATAATCTAACTTTTATTTTGACATAAAAACAATACTATTGTGCTGGTGTGTGCGAATGTGCAGAAATACCGACCTTTTTTTCTGATTATTTTACTGGTAATGACAAAAAGCCTGCGACTGCAAATCAATATGATAGTGATCAATACCACTTCAGCAGATTGACTTGTTCATGATAAACGCAGCAAACAAAAGCAATAAAAAGTGAACATTAAATTCATCATGTTGCAGACTGTAACGTGAAACCTTGAGCAATAACAAGTTGCCATGTGCTGACCTCTACTGGTCATAGTTAACAACACTAGCTGGAAGAAGCAGGAAGGCACATAAGGCAGTTAATTCATCCATTATCTTTACACCGCTTTATCCTCTGTGGGGTCAGAGGGAGGTGGAACCTGGGAAAAACCTCCATATTAGATCTCCAAAGTATCAAAAACTTGGACACTGATGCACAAAAAGGTCAAAAACCTTGATATTAATTTTTTAAAAAA